GTTTTTCATAAGCGTTGTTACATAAATTAATAAAATATAACTTACATTCAAATTTTTTTAAATATTTGATGAATAGAAATTTCTTTACTATTCCCTTTCTGCTTTCACCAAGCATGTGTATTGAATATAATATTACTTTCATTCATAAATTAATTTATTCATATTTTGATTTTTGTCAATTTATGGCATTCAAAAGGAATATTATATTTTCAAATGTAAACTGTTTTTTCGAATATTAAACACGTTTCTCCTCACGTTTGTCCTTTAATCGCTACCAAGCCGTATCGAATATCATCTTCTCCTGATTTATAGTGGTCGTCAGACATTTGATCAAATTTTTTTCTTGTCTGAAACATCCTTCCGATTTAGTAACCGGCTTGCAGTTATGTGTCATTAAGTATTGAGTTAATTGAATAGTACGAATTTGATGTACATTTTTGTTACTTACATTTTTTTTTATTATAGCTACTAAGTATAAATAATTAATTTTTAAAACTTTAGTTGAAATACAATAAATCTCGTTACAATGTCCAAGATTATTATTTCGTTTTTAACATTTATAAAACTGAAAAGTATTAATTGAATTTGGTTTAGTCATTTGGAATTATCATAAATAATAGGCAATAGCTTATGGTGGCACCCAGTCAGCTCGTATATTACTGTTTTTAATATTAATTAATTATGTAAATGATATAATAATATTAATAATAAAATATAATATATTATGTTGTGTAGGTACCTAAAATGTTGTACTGAGCTTCTTAAAATAATATATTACCAATACAAAGAAAATATCTTTAACGCGTTCAATGCGACTATATATTATACTGTCTAGGTACCCGATATTATTAACAAAGTGTAAATTGAATATTAATTGCATTTTTACATAATTATATGGAACTTTTGGAATAAAATACTGGATGATCCATTCAACGTAGGACATTCATTACTTCAAAAACTTTTAATAATTTCAAGACATTAAGAAATACCTTTTTTTATGACTTTAAATATTTTTAAGTTATGACTAATAAACTACTTATTCGAAATTTGATTTTTATAGATCGATAAATTCCGCATAATATTCTGCTACGGAATATGAAATTAAAAATATATGTTGTCATTTAAAATATCGAATCCATTCAATGATATCATTATAGTCTGTAGTTGTAGTATTATCTATATATAAGTTAATTTCAAACCATTTTCGTATTGGTCGATACACAGGCTTGATCTAAGCAAGTGGCGCCTTTTGAATTTTGAGTTTGCTTTTTAATAAGGTTCCAAAATGTAAATAGTTCAATTTTTTATCATCCTCAGAGCCATTTTTTCCTCATCACAGTAAATACATGATTTGATAATGTATTTGATGTGAATAGTGCATGCATGGGGTTGAAGGGTTATATACTTATATGTTTGATATTTTGATGAATTAAAGAAATTTGAAGTTGGAAATAGCTTTTGTCATATGCATACCGCAACTATATATATTACCTCCATACATATTATATTATACGCATTATGTTTTCATAATATATGTTTACTTTTATGCATAGGCTGTTTGAGCATTTGCAAATTAATGGCAGGCCAATAACCAATAAGACGCAGAAAAAAATTAGAGTTACCAATGTACACCCTTCCATACCCAAAACAGGTGGTAATATCATCCACATCCACTAACGATGTATTATATTATATACATATATATAAGTATGCGTAACGTTAGTTGTGTAAAATGTTTGGCGTCGTGAATTGGAAGACATGGGTTGATTTAGGATAGACAATTAATATTATAATTTAGTGTATCGAATATCGATAGACCACATGATTTATTCTCTTGATGTGAAATTATATATTATATTTTACGATTTTAGTAGGAACCCATACATTTTTAAATGGCAGGTGTACCACATATTATGTGGAAAACTGGAAATCGTTGGTTTATTTTTGAAATTCTAAAACCTTTTTGACGAAACAAACTACAACAACGTCCAAACATACTATAATAGTCGTTATGTTATACTTCACCGAGCAACCGAGTGGGAGAGGAGACTGTATACTGTACTACGTATGCTTTTACGCAGGCACGGATCCAGAGCACGAATTTTGGAGGGAGTTGGTGGGAGATCTACACAATACAGGATATATTATAATCAAAAACAAAAATTGCATCATGTATAAATAAAATAAAAACTATAAATAGGAAAAAATTCAAAATACCTATTTTTAAAGAGCTTAAATATTTTCAAAATTATTTCATAGGTACCTAACCTATAGCAATAGTAATCTGAATATTTAGTTAAAAACGTTAAATTTCTATAGTTATTTACTATTGAGTTCAAACAAAAAAAGACCTATAAAATTGATTTGGTCAAAAACTGGTTTACCATAAAAATTTTAATTGTTTTTGTTTTTCTTTATTATTTTGAAAAGTTTTATTTTACATTAGATCTCCAAAATACCAACTACATCCAATTTGCTACTAAAAACCAACCTCTTAGTTGAAATCATATCATTTTATCTGTTCCAAAAAAACGGAAACTGACACAATATTGTAAAATCAATAATTTTGTGTTATTTTTTGGTTTCAGTGGTTTTAATAAATGTTGTTAAAATTTGAACTTTTTAAAAGCTTATAAAAAGATGATGTAGATGTATTTTCGATATTTTTTATTTTTTGATTAAGCGGAGAAAAATTTATGAGAAACCTTTATTAATTTTCAAGATTTTTTACTCGTATTAATAAAATGTCATATTTTCATAGGTCGAAAAAATACTAAAAAAATTCAAAAGTCTATAAGTACCAAAATATATTTAAAAAAAAAAAAAATGTTTTTAGATAATATATGCTAATATAAAATATTTTATAACATTACAGGTACGCGTCTGAGGAACGAATAATGATAATGGAGAATTAATGTTTTGGCGGCAGCGGGTGCGGCCGAAAAAAACTAAACCTCGTGCGAATCGATCTGCAAGCCCGCCGTGGTGACACACTAGGCCAACGCACACGAAACACCAGAGCCGGATAATTTTCTTGGGCGTGTACGGTATTTATCGTAAGTATACGTCTCCGTCGACCGTTATTATATTATGTACTTGTTAAAAATTTGCTAACAGCTCCACAGCTGCGTATTGTGTATAGGTACCTACTTAACGATGTGGGTTCCGAATAAAGTTTTGAAAAACAAATTTGTGAGTCTCGGACAGGTACCACATACCATAATTATATTATACCTACCTAGATATATTATTTAATAATATGATATAATTATAGGCAATAATGTAATTTATACATGTTTATCATGTCATCATTATGATTCATAAATATTAAATTATAATATTATATTATTATTACACTAGGTATATAGTGTTAAATTACCAAATTTATTTTTCGTTTCTACGAGATCGCATAAAATCGTAATGATAAATTGATCTTGAAACTACCGCTTAGGTGGCACCGTAATATTATATGTATTAGGTGGAACCTTTATGACGTATAGTTTGGTTCAGCGAATTTCATATGGTTCTTGGAAATAACAAAATTGCAGATTTTGGTTCTTCAAAATTAAAAATGTCTGTATCACTTCATAGGACTTGGTACCGATTTTAACCTGCAGTTACAAAATAATTCATAGGTACTCATATAACTCGATTAAAACAAAATAAACCAAAACAATCAAAGTTATTAACACATAAGGATGTCTTTATACAACTAGGTATATAACAAATATATTGATTTCGTTAGTAAAATATTTAATTAAGGGTTCCAGTGAGATTTCGGTTTACATTTTTTACAGTACCTATTTGATATACCTATTGTCTATTTTTTTTATTTTCGATACTTTCCAGTCTTCCGCTATTTATGTATTTTCTTATTACTGCCACGGACATTGCGTGACTACAGCAGGTACATTCTAGGCATGGAACACATAACGGTGTACCTAGGATGCAATTATATTATCCTTATTGTGACATCATCGCACAACGAGTACGAAAAAAACGAAAAAAAACGACTAAATGAGTTTCTAATTTACGTATAGTAAATAATTATGTTATGAATATGAAATGAATGAATGTATTAGGTATTATTTATACATTGAAAATTCAAATCATTGCCCTTTTGTAGACGCTCGACATTACTCCAGGAGTGATTTTCAAGTTAAATCATAAACACGAAACAGTTAACTTTATATTTTGTATTTATTAATTTATTTAAAATACAACGTGTCTACGTTTTATTTAATTTTTTTGTATCGATTCAATATACAAATAAGATTTTTTCCTTCTACGTGCTTTGTTTAAAATTTTGATAAGTTTTTTTTTTATTAGGTGGACATAATATCTTAACATTCAAATATTTTGGTAAAATATTATTTAAATATAGAAAACAATAAAACGTCAAAACATTATAACCAAATCGGCAGTTTTTCCAGTTCAGCTATTGAGATAAAAATAAAATCATCGTCAGGTGAACCCACGGGCGAGATCCGATATTATTATACTTTGTGTTTTTATCCATATACATTAAACATGTCCGAACACAATGCTCCACAATTTATTATTAGCTGGTGAAACGACATTTATTTAACTTGTTCACATTGACACTCGTTATGCGTATGACTGCAGCATACGCGGTATATTTCAATTTCATTCCTGTCGGTCGGTTATCGTCTCGGTATTCGTTGATTTTTATCGTGTCGTTGGCGTTTTTCAGCCTGCTGATGAGGGTCGCACTGGCGTGTGGGCGCGCGCGCACCGACTTACCGACCCCCTCGGCGAGTGCAGCGCGTCACTCGGCGTCCCCTCTGCCACCGCACACGACGTAGTCGAGGGTCAGGTAACGCGCGTCCCGTGGTTGTCATCCACGGTTAAGCTGTGTGCACCGTCGTCGTAGTCGTCGGTATATCAGGGGATTCGTGTCATCGGCCGGTTGGTCCGTCATAGTCAGTCAGTCGGTTAGTAGGTCAGTGAAAAAAAGTTGACGTCACACTGCTGGTGACATGGCGTCGCAGTATGAGGTGCCTCGCGAGGCCAGAGGGCCCGCGTTGGCCGCGGCTGGTGTACGGCCTCGCGTTGACCCCGAGGCCCTAGGAGAGGTGGACCCGGAACACTATCCTCAGGCCAAGGACTCGACCAACAGGATACGAGGCAAGTCAGACATCATCGAACTGATCTTCGGGTCCGTTGACCAGGAGCTCCTGACAGTCAAGACGTTCTACTTCTTCTTCTACTCGGCGTTCGGGTCCCTGTTCCCACTGATGGGCGTCTACTTCAAACAGATGGGCATGAATCCCAGCCAGTGTGGTCTGCTCATCGGGTCCCGGCCTTTCGTCGAGTTTCTGGCCGCCCCGTTCTGGGGAGGTCTGGCTGACAGGTAATAATAATAAAGGCCCGACCTCAATATTATAGTACTTAAGAAATATTGTTTTGAAATTTCCTATTGCGATCTTATGTTTTACTTTAATTGGGTGTACCGTAATCCCATTGACCTATTTACAGTATACCAATGTTATAAAAGCAATAAATTTTTCCCACAATTCCCAAAATAATTATGTTTCATTTATATTTTTCACGTATTGTGATGCGGCGCGTGTATGGCCGCCGCCGTGACAGTTAAGTGTGGAAACGGCTCCGATCGATTTTTACCCGTTCCTCCCGCCGTCGACCCGCGACCGAGTGCGTTTCCCGACCCACATACACCCTCACCACCACCACACATCTGGTACTCGCGTAGACATCGAAACTCCAAGACGATTTACCCGACCCTTCCGATTCCGGAATTCATCTGCTAGACGTCCCGAATCATTTCATCAACATGATATAATTTGACAACGCCATCCAACAAGTGTATATAATACTATATATATATAATACCTACTTTATTATTATGATAAAATTCCTGTTATGTATATCGGAGATACGAGGTCGATCTGGGTTAGTGGGGATCGGTGATTTATGAAAGGGTTTCTAAATTAAATCGCACACGGCGTGGGGTAGTGAGAGATTGATACGATATTATTTTTCACCGTCCGGCCGAAAGTTTTCGGATTTTCTTCAATCATCGTTCCAATCAAGCTAACTATTCGAGTGTATTTAAATAACTATTTGGACACGCTATATTATTATGATATAATCTGAATTGGGTGAACGAGCACACTAGCCCGGCTTTGTTGACGGTTATATGTTCAGTACGTTTGCAATGTTATATTATTATATTAATGTGTAATCAAAATGCAATCGAATATTATCGTTTTGGAAACGAAATATGTTTTGCTTGAAATTGATAACCATAAGGTATAATGTTGTAGTATAGAAACGATTTACCAAGGAATTGAATGAGAAACTTCACGACAACCACCAATAAACTGTTCAAACATCGTTATTGCTGAAAGTTTTACGTTGTAATACTAAACATTTTATAATTAAACGGCCGATTAGGTTCCAAAATCACTCTCAAATGCACTGTTACATCTGTTTCGCTTGCTGTTAGGCCGAACAGAGTAAATTTTGAGTATTCAACAGTTCAGACGTTCAGTGGTTACGCTTATTGGCCTTATTGTAGTATAATCAGTAATCATCACAATATAAAGCAATAAGATTATCATAGATTCAAAATAAGTAATAATAATGTACATACGTATTCATCTTAACTACGATGCGATTGGAATAATTTTTTATCGAAATATGGGAAAAATTTATATAGGTTTGTTTGTATTGCATCGGAATTACCCGTTTCCCCAAAAATTTGATATTACCGTCTCCGCCATTGCCCGGTTCAGCCAATTTAAAAAAACAAGGTTTGATTCCCGTTTCCACCAATCTACGTATTATGATAATATTATTGTAATATATGTATATTGTATATCCCATATTATTGGAGTATATTACCCGCATATTATTTTTAAGGTATATTTGAGTTTGAACTTGAAATAATTGTACATTGGTTGTATGACAATGTTAGATATTCAAAAACATAATAATTATTAATAACTCAAACAAAAAAAAAGCGGGTAAGTGATGTCACTCTGCTGTACAGTAGGTTACAAGTGGGTTAATGTATAATGGATTGTATTAAACTTGAATTCAATAATATAATATCATTGTATAAAAAAAACGATTCTGAGCGGAGACGGTTTATCAGTCTGGATTTTTAAAATTTTTATTATTTATTATAGCCTTTAGGTTGAATTAATATTATATTATTATTTTTTATTCGTTTCTATGGTGATAAGCAAAGCGTTAGAAATTAAAATCTCATTTTTAGCGGTTTTTCGTAATTTGTCGGTGAGTTTTACTGTGGTATTACATAACTATTGAGGAAATCGAAAAATGACCTCTTTAAAGTACCACCTTGATCTGATTTGCTAAAAGATAAGGTACTATATTATATTGAAATCGAAGCACTAATTCTGGTAGAAATTTTGTATACGGGATATATATAAAAAAAAATAAACACTCGTTCCGCTCATAATCTAAAATATAATATTTTGTTACAAATCTAATAAATATAATAACAAAACAAAAGTCACTCATTCATAAATACAAATAATATTGTCTCATAGTTTTTAATATTGTAACTTTTTAATTATTTTAATTAGGTATTATATTTATAGAAACTATGAGACAATAATATGTATTTATGAATAAGTGACTTTTGATTTATTATTATATTTATTAAAACTTTTCCAAATATTATCTATTTTTTAGTTGAGTTTTTAGTTATTAGTATATTTTTTCAATACTTAACGTTGTCATAATATAAGCCAAGTACAATTATTTCAAGTTAAGACTTAAATATACCTTAAAAATAATTTGGATAATAATCCAAATTTATAGAATATATTATAATATAATTACCATAGCAGGTAGATTGGCGGAAACGGGAATCAAACCTTTTTTAAATTGGCGGAAACAGGCGATGGCGGAAATGGTAATTTTGAAATTTGGCGGAAATGGTACATGCCCTATTTTGTAAAACCGTCTACTCACGTTACTGATAAAATAAATTAATTTCAAGATTCAAAAATGTTGATGTCTTAGTTTTGAATGGGTATTACTATAAAATGATTTGATGGACTAGTTATTGCTTGAAATAGAAAAAAATTAGAAGAGGTATGCAAAGGTGTAAAAACAATTTACGTACTTGAATATTTGAATATTTAAATGTCTTATTGATTAGGACATAATTAGAAGTGGTACATAATCATTTTTTTTAAAATAAAAGTATCTCCATGACTCCACCTCCCTGCACCCCTCAATTTAAGCTCTGGACTAATAGTGTATATTTGTCGATATTATCGATAGGTACTTATAAGATATCATTAATGAACCTGGTAGTTTTTATATTTATCAACTAATTTCAACCCAATGAAGAGTTTAATTAAAATATACGTAATCCTTTTGTCATAAGAAGAAAATATATTTTAAATCATTAACATAATTATATTTTATATTTTTTTTATTATTTTATTATAAGTGTACAATATTGATTATACGAGTAGTATATTATATAATGTATCGCTAAATAGTTATGAGCGATAAATGATAATTCTCTGAGATATGCAGCAATTCTTCCTTGATTAAAACTGAATAACGCATCAACGCATTTCCTATACACAAATAATTGATCTACGTTAACAAAAACTTCAACCGAGGTAAGAGGTTAACGTTCTGTATAGTAACCGCCGTGTTATTTTTGATACTTAATGATTTAAAATAAATATTTAAAAACTATGTTTTGATTAAAAAATACATCATAAAATGGAAGTACAAATATAATAATAAATAAGTATACCTACATTAGGTATGTGATAATATTTAATATTTAATATTAGTATACTACTTATATATACATACGTACCTACTGAAGTTAAAATTTAATTTTACATGCGGGATCCCACATTCTTAGTTTGACAGAAAATCGATTTAAATACATTTTCGAGTAACGTTGCATTCATAATTCATATCAACGGGGTGTGTTAGAGTTAAATTTTTTAACAATACCTACACGATTAAATAATACAAACGTATTAAAATGTTTACTATTCATATAATACTTGTCATGAAATGATGAATTAAATTATATTATTGATTTATTACTGATTCCATAAATATATAATATATTATATAAATAAATTAGCATCTGTTTTATTACAGCTTATAATTTTACCTACTAAAAAACTTAAAGTCAGCTACAAGGAGCAAAAATACGTTATCACTTATCAATCTCACTATTGGTATATTTTAGCATATTAATGTAAAAGCAAAAATACCCTCAACATAACCGTGGTGAAGCCAGCAGTATCTGATGGCCCAGACTTTTTACCAACGGAAAATCTGATAACATCAAGACCACACATTTTAAATTTTAAAATACAGCCATGTAATTTTGACTGTAACAGCCACGCAATAGTTTCAAGTTGCAGAAGCTTGTACTTATATCAATAATATAATGATGTGGGTAGAGTACAAATCCACTCGAAACTGGTAGACATCATTTTTAACGCTAATCACGTTTACCATACGTATAATATTATAGTCTTCTGATGAAATAGTTTTCTATTTTTTTTTTTTACATTTATAACAAATATACAATATAGGTAATATTTAGTACCACGATAAACTAAATGCACCTAAACAGTAGAAATTAGCTTGTGAAAATTATTTAATTACTATTAACCTCTCCGTCGATGAAAAGTTTGGTTTGGAAAGCGATACGATTAATAATAAATATTTATGACACAATATAGTATTTTAATGGTAATTAGGGACTTATATACGATCTTGTGATTTTTTTCGTCAGATGGCGCAAGGGGAAAATGTTGTTATTGGCTTCGCTTTCGTGTTGGATCATTTTTACGCTGCCGTTGGGATTCATACAGCCACCAGCCACTCGATGTATTGTGAAAAAAAACGCGTCCACTTATATGCTGGAAACGCCCATGGCGCCCAAAGTGTACAAGCGGGACGTGTCTTCGGTGACGGATTTCATTAAATATGATCAAGACATCAACGACTTTGAAGTCCCAGACTTGTCCACGCCCGTGATACGCCGGACTCGTGGCGTGCGGCCAAGGTTTACGGCCGGCCGGTCACCATTGGACGTGAAGTTCGCCTCCAACTACAACGAGAAACAGCACTACAACTTGGTCATGCCTATTTACAGCCACATCGTGTACACGATAGAAGTAAGTACCTCCTAGGCCAAACGATAAAATAAGATTATTATTTCACCGTGGTCTGTGTATGTCATTTATAATTCGGTTGAAAATCTTTAGGCACTAACGAAAATAGAGAAATATATAATTTTTTGGACGGCTTAAAATGTGTGTATCTTATAAAACGTAATACATTTTTGACAGCATAGATGCTATGTATATGATTTTCTATGAGACATTAAAATTTCTTCATCTTTAACCTAATAGCTGACACATTTCACTACATTTGATCTAACTAAGGAAGGTGTAAAGCTCAATTATGGGTGCTTAGATAGCAGGTGCTCATTATTTTAATATACTAAATTGTGCAAACATTTTGTTTTTAAATCCCTATTGTTGCTGGTGCTGAAATTTAATATTGTCACGCTATCAAGTTTTAATGATCTAGCAAAAATGACATGGCTCTTGACCTCATATATCGAGTGACATTTGAGTACCTACCTAGTACCTACAACTTTAAAATGTCTTTGTGTTTTCAGAAATACGATAAGTAATTTAAAAAGGGTTAATTTTAGGTATTTTATTACCTAGATTTCCTTTTTCTATATTTATGTGATATGATTAATTTTCAAAAGGTTTTTCATTTTAACATAACCACTAAAAGGTTCGTGCAATTTTTAATTTTATTAATATCCCTAAAAAAAAAAAACGGAATTTTTTATACTACTACCTGTTTTACCCGGCGTTGCCTGAGGATACATGAATCTGAGATGAGAAATCCACCTTCGGGGATAGAAATATGTAATTTTTTTCTTACATGAACCAATTGCAGGCAAACATATATGAATATGTGGTTATCATTTTAATATTATTAATATACGGTAAGCCATCCTGAACCTTCATTGAGATGTCAAAATCAGTAGAGTATTTTTGATTCTATAAGCCTTAGTAATACATTTTGCCTTTTGTACAATATAATAGCTGTTACCCGTTGCTTCTATTATAATACTCTTACGATGTGGGATCCCAAATAATACGTGTGCAAAATGTTGTGCCAATCTATCAAAAACTGTGGATTTGTACGTGCGTCATTTATAGAAATAACCCGGCTTAGTTATTGGGTATTATATTTAGATATTTAAGGTATAAACAGCTGTACATGGGTATTAAAATAATTTTTAGTACTTACGATTCGATAATCACATGTAATTATATTATGTAGTTAGTAGTATAGAATGTTTGAATTCTTACATTTTTTTTATTTTTAGTTCCTCAACAATTACCTGAATATGTAAATTAAAACCAAATTATTATCCCCCCTCCCAAACTAAAATTGGGAAAGCATCAACGATAAATATCAATCAATCAAAACATAACTTTTTTTGACCAAATTAGTGAAATATATTTTGATCAAATCATAAACACATACCTCTTAAGGGCTGGGATACGGTTGTTAACCACAGTTTTTATTTTGTACACTTACGCCAATTTCCCCGCTTTTTATGTTAAGACATAACTATATGTCTATATACTGTGCAATATAAGTATAATGAGTATACTATAGTAATGATATGAAATTAAATAAAAAATTGACTTTTCGTCACATCATTAACGGGACATGTATTTGTTTTCCTCAGGATATAGAGAAAGTGTTCTTTCTTCTATTGCTTCTAGTCATGATAGGCGAGTTCTTCAGCGCTCCAGCCATCACGTTGGCTGACTCGGCCGTTATCACGCTGTTGGGTACGGACGCCGACAAATACGGACACCAGAGAATGTTTGGCTCGTTGGGTTGGGGCCTGGCCATGTTTTTCGTGGGCATAGCACTTGACCATTCAACCGCTTTTCCGGATCACCCGTGCGATGGGCCACAGGACCGTGAGAAGAACTACACTATTTGCTTTGCCACGTTTTCCGTTCTTATGGGAGCCGCCCTGATCACTGCCACGCAGATGAACTTCCGGTACGAAGATACTTCAGCCGAAACAGAACAGACGGAAATGATGATGGAAAAGGGAGCGGCTCCGACCCGGGACGATTATCTACAGCAGGAGTTAGCGCAACAATTGAATCTCCCGTCTTTGGCGCCCAACGTCGCGGGTTTGCCTCCCAGGCCCCCAGATCTCCCGGAAAGCGGTGGTGGAGAGTCGAGCTTAAAGGTAAGTGGACCACTACCTTGCATACTTGGAGTAAAATTATTTTTTAAAATATTAATAATGAATATTTTAACAAAACAAAAAGTAATATCTTAGAGTATTCGAACAATTTATGGTAATAGTATTCCCATGGTTATTAATTTGTCAACCGTTTATTATTTTGCATGTTTGTATTGTATAAATTAATATTTAATTAAATTAATAATAACGATATTATGTCTTCATGTTTACATAATTTTTAACCCGATTTTCAAATGCAATTTAGAAAATTACTTGATTAATAACTAGATTTAATTACCTAATTCATGAATAATATAATATGTTTCAAGCACGTCCTAAAAAACTACATTTGATTAAATGTTTTATTGCCAACATTTTTATTAAGCTATGAAAATGTAATGATTTTGTTTTATTATTTACTATATTTTGTATTATTGATACATATTTCATATTTTAATGTCTATTGAAAAATATCTAAAACATTAAATACCAGTGATAATGCATTAATGCCATTTTTTTTAACATAAAACATTGAATGTTTAATATGAATTTAAATTTTGTATTGATTTGAAGATGTATTAGGTACAAACATAATATAATATTGTAATAATGTAATTTATAGGTTTATTTTATGTTATAGAAACCACAAAATATTTTTATATCGCATAAGTTTTTAAAAGTCGATTAATTTTTAGGTGTGTTATAGTTATACATACCTTGGATATAAAAACTTTTTAAATTAATATTTTACGATAGTAGTATTTTCCAAGTACTTTGAGTACTATGTACATAAGCATTCCAAGTTGTATAGTCATTGGTTATTTAAATTCATAAAAATATGTGCAATATGACACAATTATAACCACTATACAATTTAATTTAGTTCTGCAATTATTTTGTGGTCAGTGTTTGACAATGAGTCTTATAAAAAATAAGTACTTTGAAAATTAATCGGAATATAGAACTGAATACTTACATACAAATAAAGTATTAAAAAATATTCAAGCATTTAATTCAGTAGGATTATTTGTGACTCCTATATTTTTCTACATATTATTATCATCGCAATTACGATTATTTTAATCACTCGCACATATTACAACTTATTAATGATGATATTGTATTTCAGACTAAAATCTTCGCTCAAACAACAAAGAAAATTCCAGAATGGATTACGGTATTGAAATATTTTGCGAACTTGAAGTGTGGATCTTTTTTGTTTGTATCGTGGTTTATGGGATTCGGTATTGGGCTGATATTCACGTTCCTGTTTTGGCATTTGCAAGTGAGTGAAATATCGCTAATGAACAGATGTAATCTGAAGATAGTGATGGCCACCGTTATAATGTATCACAACTAATGTTTAGGATTACGGTGGATCCCCAACGCTATTCGGTGTGGCTTCAGTTATCAATCACATTTCTGAGATATTCGCGTACTTCTTTAGTTTCAAACTAATTCGCCAGATGGGACACGTCAAAGTATGAGCATTTTATTATTTTATATTGATAGTTGTAGGTATCTATCGGCGTTCCTATTATTCAAGATCAATTAATCGTGTTTAGGTGTTGTGTTTGGGACTCGTCGGCAACATATTGCGTTTCTTGTACATCTCTTGGCTGAAGAACCCATGGTGGGTATTACCGTTTGAGTTCATGCAAGGTAAATAATATCGTTAACTATTATTATGTGGCACCATATGGTTTTATACTATAATATTATAGTTATAATATATTCTATATTCCTCGTAAGTTGACCCACTTTTTTTTTTGCGCACTCAGAGGATGGTGAAAACGTTGTGTGTGACAATATATTTCACTGTAGTTCTAAAGTCTCCTAACCTCATGTCGCGAAACACCACAGTGTATATGTAGTGAACTGTATTGTCACTACATATTCAACATACAATGCGTGTGTAAAAAAAAAGTGGGTCAATTTACGGCGAATATAGTAAGTATTATACTTATTATAATAATAATATTTTACTGCAACTATTTTTAGCTAAATACATTTATACAAATTATATCCTTATAGATAATACCTACCTACTATAGTAATATATTTGGGAAAATGTTCAATTTTTGGATTAGATTTTTCTTATAGAAAAATATACATATTGCTCCAGTGTTCTCTTCGTTGAGGGCAGTGAAGAAGGGTTGTTTAGGATTTTGAGGGCTTCGGAATATTTGGGGTAGTTGATCACTATACCTGATGATTCTTTTATCAAACAACACTCAATATTTCAAAAAGTGTAAATTTATTTGAAAATATTTTCTTACATATTTTGAAGTCGCTTATAAAACAACGTTTTTATAAAAAAATTATATTTTTAAATATTTTTTATCCTTATAATTTTTTATGTTTCTTACTTTTTTGAATGGCAACATAGGGTTTTAATTTTATATTCTAAAGTAGAATATTTTTCTTAGTATTTTCAATTTTGATACATGAAAATCCAATTTGGGGCTAGTAGTTTATGAGTTATAGTATTTAAAGTTTAGACGAGCGGAGTTCTAACTCATAAACTACTCAACCCAAATTCGATTTTCATGTATCGAAATATTAAGAAAAATATTCTTCTTTGGAATATAAAATTAAAACCCTATGTTGTCATTCAAAAAAGTAAAAACTTAAAAAATTATAAAGATAAAAAATATTTAAAAATATAATTTTTTAATAAAAGCTTTGTTTTATAAGCGACTTGAAACTATGTAAAAAAATATTTTCCAAAAGATGTACACTTTTTGAAATAATGAGTGGTTTTTGATAAAAGAATCACCCAGTATATTATGCTCTATTGTTATAATACTATAATAGTTTTATGTATGTTTTTTTTCCGTTTTCAGGCATAACCCATGCTGCAGTCTGGGCCGCTTGTTGCTCGTATATAGCCCATAATACTCCACAACAGTTGCGAAGCTCGGCTCAAGGCGTGTTGCAAGGCATCCATCATGGATTGGGCAGAGGATGTGGTGCTGTCGTCGGTGGATGGTTTGTCACGTACTTCGGTAAATGCAGTATTTATGTTGCCAATAGTAGTTTGATACGTGACTTTTAACATATAATTTTATTTTTGTGCAGGAACGACCACCACGTTTAGGGGATACGGATTTGTTTGCGCGCTCGTCTTAGGAGCGTTTATTTTTATTAATTTCTACAGGAAGGACACTGGGTTTGTGTCAGAATTACCTGTTGCCGAAGATCCACATCAGGTGAGTTATACTTCCTATTATGTAATAAAAAGGAATCCTATTTAACTTATCAGTTCGTTTTTTTAAAATCAAAACTGGGTGTGGTTGTTGTGTTGATGGGTTTTTGTCAATATTTTATTTCGGGTAAATTATTAAAATTAATATAGTGGTCGACCTCTGTTTATCTTTATTTGTTTTTCAATTTACTCGTTTACATAAACGACTCTATTTTATTACCAACTCGGCAAAATTTATTTTTATCGATAGTATTATATATAATATCTTTGTTACAATGACGCACGGAATATGGCAGCGAAGGCTGCAAGAATGATATGAAACCTCAAGTTGTTAGATTATTACTGACATAGTGACACATACAAATTATTAATTAAACAATTAATTTTACGTTGGAATTCAAAATTTCTCAATGGCCAGTAATTATTAGTACCTTTAAGCTCGCGGTGGTACTCCGAGACATCATCGATTTTCTAACTAATCAAAATCTATAGATAATTATTTATAATCACCGTCGTACAACTGAATTGGAGATGATTATTATTTGGGGCTATGGCTTTCATTAATATAATTGATGTTTAAATGATTTATCACTTGTCTTCTTGGACACTGGTCTTGGATATCACATTATCACGTGACCATTATTTGATTAATTGATGTAGCTACCCACCCACCCTAAATAAACTGTTCCTAATATGTACCTAATGGAATTAAGTTTTTGAGAAACTAATTGAGGAGTATCAACAAAAATAATTTAACGAAAATCTTTTTAATACTATAGGTGCACATTATTTAATATGTCCGGGAGCTGATCATTTGTGAATGAATACAGACATATTTGTTTAATTTAATCTATAATATGTTCAGTGGTTTACATACGGGGGGGGGGGGGGGTTCGGGTTCAAACCAAAAAAAAATAAAAAAAATAATGTGATATTATTGATGAATTTCTTATTATTAATCAACCGTGTATACACAAATATACGTCATAATAATATGACTATTGAGTAAACAGTAAACACTATACTGTCTATACTTAACCAACAACGAAAAAAGATTTCATAACGAAATTATGGGTGCCGTATAATATGGTATATCAATCAAAATAGACATTATTTTGATCGTACACAGTCATTTAGTTGCGTGCGGATATAAATACATATTAATATTGTCTTTATCTCGACCGACTCATTATAAACACACAAGACTGGGCGTGTTAAGTTTTTTTTTTTTTTAACTCAGTTAAGTTAATATGCATACACATAAAGATATAGTATATATTGTATTTTTAAGTACAGAAGTTACCTATCACATAAGTAGGGCTCGGATGTTGTTGCATTTGCAACTTTTTTTCTATTGTTCGGATTCGTTGCTAAGTAGGTTATAAATTTGTTTCAAACGAGTACCAATTAATATATAAAAAAATTAAGTGCAACTTTTTGCAATTTTTGATCTTTTTTCAATTTTATTGCAATTTTGTTGATTGTCGTCATTTTCAATACAATTTTATGTATTTTTTTGTGTTTTCACTTTTTTTTGTTAGATTATACAGGTTTAATCTATGGTTATGTCGGGCTTATTTGACCGTCGTCGTCGGCGGTAACTTAAAAAAAAAATAAAAATAGTTTAAATAAAAAGTTTTAAATTTTGATAAAATTATTTATAGGTTTCTGAAAAAATAAGAAGACCGGACAATTTACCAGATTTTTAATGACAACTGACGAGAATTTGAATTTGAATCTTTTTTATTATCTACTCGTTTAAAACCTACCTAATAAAACTTTTTAATATTACTTAATAAAATGACTTAATCCATTTCATAAAATAATTTTTTAATATATTTTTTTAATTTTTTTGGTACAAAATATTTTTTAATTGCAATTTTTAAGTGCAATTTTGGGTTTTTTTTCACAGCAATAATGCAATCAATTTTATAACATTTTTAGTGCAACAACATCCGAGCCCTACACATAAGTAATAAGTAATAAATAATAATAAATAATTATTATATATTTTAGTTGTCTTTCAAACAGATATTATTTGTGTACATCATAATACGATGAGTAGGTATTTTTAATTTTAATGTTTTAACTATCAACATGAATACTGTTAATAATAATTTTTAATAATAATTAATAATCTCACAAAACCGTAAAATCATAAAATCAATAGGTAATTGATTTATTTTTTTTTGTTTATTTTTAGATTTTAGTGTCGGCAAACTATATCATAATATTATGTCTATAATCTATATTATTGAAATTTTGACATGGCAACAAAATAGACTCAAATAATGAAATGTAAAAAAATGAAAAACAAAATAAATTAACTTACAAATAAAAAAATTAATTCGTTAATTTAACGTTGATTAAAAAATAAATTTAGTAAATTAGTAGTTAAGTTAAAAATGATTATTATCACATCATAATCATTATCATTCGATTTCGATATATTTTAGGATTTGAAGGTAAAATAAATAGTAATCATGGCTGAAAAAAAACAGTCGAAACTGCAATCTTTTTTTTCGAAACCACCCTTAATAATGAATTCATTGTCAAATTCATTGAATGCAACTCAAACAGTTATACGTTCCTCTAGTTCCTCATTACCATCAACGGCATCAACTGCATCTGCATCTGATACACCTATCACTCAGTTTACACCTTCGACTACAGATATTAATCGTACATCTTCCAGTTATAATATTTTTGACATTGCACATTACACAAATAAATTGTTAACGAAAAGTGAAATAGAAGAAATTTTGAGCAAAATTTGGGTCCCTGATATTAATTACAATTTTCCTATCAAAATATCAGTAGTCGGTAAACAACAAAAAGTTTTGAGGTTGAAATTTCAATATAAATGGCTAATTAACTTTCCCTGGTTGGCCTATTCAGAAGTAAACAATGGTGCGTATTGCAAATATTGTGTTGCTTTTACTAAAAATGAAGCCGGTGTTAATAACCAAAAATTGGGAGCATTTGTATTAAAAAAATATGATCATTGGAAGACTTTAAAAATCATTCGAATTTAGAATATCACAATCAATAGAATTTTTATTATAAATAATTAATAATATAATATTTATAATATTCTGTACTTACTATGTGCATATTAAATAATATTTAACTGCCATGAGTTACGTAAACCTTTGTATTTGTTTTGCTATTTTGCCTATTAATACTTATACGTGTAATGTGTTTGATTGTTAGGAAAATGGGTAGTTGCAAAGAGAAAGTTTTAGTGCTGGTTATTTTTTTTAAACCTCTCCCAGAGCAAATTTGAATGTACGCCACTGAATATGTTTACATCATTTGTAGCCTTATAAAATATGATTACAGTATATAATAAGCGATTACACTGTAATCTATATTCCATAGGTGGCTGAAGAAACAGCTCATTTAGCCCCGCATGGCGTACCCAGCAATCCTTTACCGAGAGGCTTGTCGAGCAACAAACTACAAGATCTGGCGACCGAAAACCATGGTTATGGCGCTACGCACACATCTGGCAGCAACTTAAATATTCCACAAGGTTCTATTAATTGTCAATATAATTCACTTGTTGATGCTATTATATAATTATTAGTATTATGCTGATTGTTCGATTTTTTTTTTTTAGGCGCTACAAATCCATTCCGACAAAACAACAGCTACAAACAACCCATTAATCACGGAACCTCGTACACGGACGAGTGTATACAAAAACAATATACGGTACGTCAGCACCTATTAAAATTCAATAACTAAAATATAAAATGCGATATGCTATGTCGGAGATGAAGTTATTTAACTTAACGATACTAAGTATAATTTTAAGTAGAACGTCTATTCAAGTAGATATTCAAAAGTTCCGACTTCTTCAATAAGCCTTAGGATAGTAACTTAAATGTATATGAAAATTGAAAAATCATATTAGTCTTAAATCTTAATAAGCTAAACAACTCGTTTAGTTCACATTCACGTTCACATTTTTTTTGTGACTTAAACATGATACACCTACCTATCGTTGCCCGCCAGCCTTATGATCATAAGTAATAATTTTTTCTGATTTTTAGATGTGCAACGACTTACAGAAACATTCGATAACTTCAGAATTGATGAGTCCAGAACCACTGAAAAGAAACTCGCCTTTATACCAGTGGTAATTGTGATTCAGATGTACTCGATTCTTCTCCATTTGATCTTCTGGCGTACCGTCAGAGAATCGTTTTTTTCTTAATAATGTTATTGAAGCGAGAAGCAACGTGGCGTTGTTTTTTCCCTGTTTTTAGTACCTAACCTACGAGTAATAAAACAAGTTTGTTATTTTATGACTTTTGAGACTTAGCAATAATAATAATAATAATAATAATAAAAATATTAATTAAAAAATATAAAATAAAATACACATTAATACATTTTTACTTATATTGGTACCTATATAAACATAGCAAACATATTATTATTGTCTTAAGTGATTTTTTTTTTATTTTACTCCTATAAATACCAAGCCTAAATATTGTTGATGAAAGTAATATTATTTACCTACGTATGGCGGGAGATTTCGCATAAAAATTCCTGTTATGGAAAATGGAAACCATGTTATTGAAGTATGCTTTTGTGATAAGGTTAATTTATTCAATGTTGTGTTAAAAATATTATTATTATTATAATTTGCACGAATTTAATTAAATCATATCAAAATGAAGTTTGCACGTTTTATTTTGAATAATTTAAAATTGTTAACACAGGAATTTTTACTTATATAAAGGAATAATTTAGTGTACGGAAATACCTATAATATTATTATATTACGATGATTTCGTTCGTTTATGGACTTAGTAAAATATTATGACACTGGCCATCACTGAAATAATAAGAAATTTAAATAAAAATGCGACTGTTTTCTATTTATTTAATACTACAAATTCTACATAAACGTATGCCTAGTACTGTTGCAGAGTATATTCTTAAAAATATTACAATGTATACGTTTTTATGATATTTGTGTACATAAACTAGACTATGTCAATACCTTAATCACATTTTATCCGATCTCGATTAGTGGAGAAATAGAATATTTTATCCTAGCAATTTGTAATAAACAAATATTAAAGAATAATATCTTTTTTTGGATTACGCTTTAAAGAAAGATTACAATTTATCGTTATAAATAGACACAACTATTTTTCAGTTTCTTTTATATATATTATCCAAATGTTGATTTTCATACCAACAATAATATTTCTAAAACTTTAAGTATTGAGTTGTAAATAAACGAAAACAAGAGCTAACAATTTGAATTCCTGATTATAATGTTTTCCAAATGTATACATTTATTTAAATGTTTGAATATTTTATTAACATTTTAAACGTAACAATGATATTATATAATCAGTATTGCTATATTATTAAATGTACTTAAACTAATAATTGTAAAAAGTAATAATAGTAATAAACAAAACTATTATGTTATTGGTGTCATTACGAAAATCTTTTTACATGTTTGTATACATTTTTTAATATGTAAGATACTCTTGCAGAAAAAATAAATAGTATTGGATAGTAAAAAAAAATGTTTTAATATATTGGAGACCATATAATATATTATCATCTCATAATTATCGAAAGTGGAGTGTGAATGATGTATTTATAGTTTTACACTCCACTTTTCAGAGTCGGCCTTAACTCGAATACGGACTTTCCTCAAGCAAAACACATAATATTACGCCGAGTAGGGTAATATATTAATATGTATTATAAGCATATATAATATATATTATATATATGCAGGGGTAGATGTTTAATATTTTGATGGGGGGGGGGCACATATAAATTGTATAATTTTAATTAATAATACATACATACTACCATTTTTAAACAATAATGTTTATAATAAATAATAATTAATAGTTGGTAGTATTATTCTTATTATTTGAATTTTTCATTTATATGATACTCGTAGTTACATAATTGTCGATAGAAAATTGACAGGGGCGCACGTGTCCCTATGCCCCTTCCCTGAATCCGTCTCTGTATATATGCGAATATGCCAAGCGTAATACGACATATCGTAACGACCGGTTTCGCTTACGAATTTACATGTTTTTTATTTTTGATATTGAGTGAAATAGTTATTATTTTACATGTATAATTGAAGAGTGTAGTAAACATTTAACGTAGGTATTGAAAAATAAAAAAAATAGACAATATTCTACTAAATTGTTTCGAAACAATCGAAACATGAACCTATTTTTCCGTAATGATGTTATGGTATTAAAATCGTTTCCTGAATATTTCCTGAAAAATATGTCTGATTGAATTATTATAAAATCTCACTTTAGAATTGATTGCCAGAAAATATTGGATTCGGAAAGCAAATATAACGCTATTTAGTCGATTTTCTGGATGAATTCCAACGATAGTGAAAACTGCCGTCTAGTCAACATTAATTATTTCAGAATAAATAGTTTGCGCAGAGCACTCGCTATCTAGGCATAATCATGTCAACGCCTCACATGGGTCTCCTCATCTTCGCAGCCAACCTCTATCCTTCCTAAACCATCGACTTCTGTATTCTCCGCTCTCTCCTAAACCTCCAAAACACTAAAACTCCCAACCCAAGCTTCAATATATAAAACTTAGCTTAACCAATGTGGACGTCGGAACACTATGGGGCTCTGCAAAAATTTTCAAACACAACCGTATCCACCGCTCCAATACAAAACGCTCCGAGCCAAACTAAAGCACCATCTACGTGTCCAACCAGACCTTAATAACGATCTGCGCATCTCACCGTTTTGGTGTATTGTAGCAGAACTTTATAGACGATTAACCTTATCTGTTAAACAACCATGATAATCCCCTAATTAAAGGACTTGCGTCGGCAAACATACCCGACAATCCTAGGAAAAGACTAAAAAGGCGGTGGTGTCGGGACCTATTAATTTAGTTAATTACCTAATCTTTTTCTATTTATAAATAATTGTTAACTTATTGAAATGTATATAAACAGCTGACAAAGTGTCTTCACTGGAAGGCTTCTTAAATCCGTCCTTTCCTCAAGCCACTTATTCATTCAATTATCTATTTTACTTATTGTTCATATTTTTATTGTAACAGATTGTAAATAAAAATTATAAAAATTAAAAAAAAAAAAAAAAAGAATAAATAGTTAATGTGAAATTTAATAGAATACGTACCTGTTGATGTCTAACCTACATGAAATGTATTCAGAATATAATATGTTAATTAATTGGCCGGTCAGTGACTATAATTTCAATCCTATGATATTGTAATATTGCCAATAATTTGGTGAATTTTTTTTAAATATAATCCATGAAGTATTACATATATATGTATAATGTATATACTGACTAGTAATTATATATTATATTTCTTATATCGTGGTAAATGGGGTAATCATAGGTCTAAAATTAAATCCAATTAAAATAGCTATTTTATTTTCATTTTTCTGTAACCACATTTTATACAAACAAAAAAATATTCTATGTATTAAAAATTAATAAATAATTGGATTTCAATCCCGCCAACTGCTAAGAAAGTTCTACACCACGATGAAAGAATGCATGGTTATTATTATTTTTTTTTTATTAGGGTTAAGTCTTCGACTATTAAGGTCATAGTCATTAGCCTATGGTACTGTGGGGTAGGGTATACTGTAGATTTGTTCAAACGTGTGTATTTGTTTTGGCAGAATTTTTGATTTGGGCATCCTTAGGTATCTTCCATGCCAGGTCGGGGGATGGCGGCCTCTCTCTCCAGACAGATGTCTGCCCGGGGATAAGTGCCGCTAGTGACCGAGGTTCGAACCAGCGACGGTGTGAATTGTAACCGACGCCTTAAATGCATGGTTAGCTAATTGAAAAAACAAATATAAAAAATATTTTTATAAACACTCGCAAATATTATTATTAAAATTAAAAACTAATAACGTTCTCCTTATTTTCCTCCCATTAGGAATCTAAAAATTTTTTGTTTACATCACAGATTTTTAATTTTTTTTTTTTTTGTTAAGTAGATATAAAACACGTAAAGATAAATCATTTTTTCCTATAGTACAGATTTTTGTCAATTATAGAACGTTGCAGTGACGTTCACATTGATAATGTTATATACAGTAAGACACTGACACGATAAAACATAATATTATATTACCTAATATAGGTAATGTATAATTAATAAATATTATATAATACTACGTACTGCTAGAGTTAGTTTTAAATAGTTCACTATAATTTTGTTTTTTAAACGAGACAAATTTTATAGTGAAGCTTTGTTTCCATCATTTCGTATTAACTCTTTGACTACCATTACGACATTACTATTTACTGCACATCACAGTAGATACTGCATTAAATTCACTTTATTCGAAATACTTTTTTTTTTTAGAGATTATCGTTCTATACACTGTAAATAAGAAGAAAGGGTTTACTCGACAGCAGCAGTCATTTAATGTTATTTAATTAAAATGTTTAATAAGAAAGTAAGTATAGCGTAAGTGACATACATATCTAACTTTTTACTGGAAAAATAGAAAACTCAAGCCAAGTCATATATTTTTTTGTGAATGATTGATGTTCAAATTTTGATGACATTAAAATATATTCACATGTAAAATAATCTCAAGCGATTTCTATTATTTTGTTTTATTTAAAAAAATACGTACTAATCGTGGGAACTTGAAACATTCCACTTTCAAACAATGGCATTTTCAAAATATTCGGACCAATTTTAAATTACTTATTTTCATTTGAAATTGTTGAATTTATTCATGCATATCACTATCACATTTGTTATATGGGTCCACTAGCTGAGATTATTGCAGTAAGTCTTGCTCTCGTTGAAATGATGAATCGGTTTATTAATTTTCTCGACAGAACAATACAAATCTTTTGAATTTATTTAAAGAACTACAATATTAATTCGTCGACTGATGACACAAATATTATCGTCAAGTTATATAGATCGGGAGTAATTTTTTTTTATATAAATTCAAGCTATTATCACTGAGATAAACCGTTTGGGGAGTGTTATAATTATTTGTAGTCTGACGTTTTTTCGAGCGTATTTAAACTATTTATTTTGGTCAGTCAGGTTGACCACGATTATAAAATGTTCAAATTAGTTAATAATATTATATAAG